CGTAACCTCTGGTTCGGCACACGGCCGTCAGCGTCCTCACCACATTCTACATCTTCTGATTCTCCGAGCTCATCATCATCTGGCTCACCCAGCCACGAAACCCAACCACCCGTTACCATCAAAGAATCGAAGCGACCGCTGGACCGTGCTTTGTCTGTTCTTTCCGCCGGGAGACGATCGTTTTCGCGATCATCAGCTTCCCGCTCTATGACACCTACTGCTCCAGACTCTGCCTTGCGATCATACGAGCTACTGGATGCAGCGCTCGCCCATTTCATGCCGGGTGACATCAGTTCGGACGACATTAGCATTCGTAACCGACTCCCAGAGGGGGAGTCTTTGGATGACATCCTCTCCCCCCTCGTTATGCTGCTCACTCGATTCTGCCTGGGAGATGACGATGCAAAAGTCAGGATAAGGAATTGGTTCATGCCGCCCAATATTGATCGAACGAGTCCGTTGGAGCAACGCTCCGATGTTTTGGGCCGGTGTCTACGTCTGCTGCAGAGTGCACATCACAGCCGGCTAAATAGACTTGTTGGGGAGATGTTCTTCGCCATGTGTGATTCCGACGGTGAGTCGAACGGACGTTGTTGGCTATCTGGTGGCTGATGAGGTGCGATCTGGGAATAGCGACGACTCTTTCAGGTTATCTTGGGTACGGAAATGTTGCTGGCTTCCTCTTCCACAAGGGAGTGGTTTCTGCACCACCGAGGACCAGCACCATGGGAGCGCCATCTACCACTCCGGCCGGGTTGCCCATCAACCCCATCACTGGGACGATCGAGAGAGAACCCGAGCCTGTGGATATGACTGAAGAAGAGAAGGAACAGGAGGCAGAGAAATTGTTCGTGCTTTTCGACCGTCTGGAGAAGAATGGGGCTTTGCCGCCCAGTCAAAATCCCATACGAAAAGCAATGCAACAAAGGAAGTTGGGGTGATCGAGAGGATGTAACTACATACTTGGAACGAGCGAGCGAACATATAATTTATCACCTTGTTAACCTGTACAAAGTTTGCTGACCCTAGTCCCTAGGCGGAATATCATAATGGCAATTGCGTGTACAGGTGGTAGTGATACGATGCACAGGATCATGCGTAAGCACGAATTTTAGAAGCAGGAGTGTCAGCCGTATATCAAGAGTGATCAGATCAGTCAAATGTGATCTTCTGTCCTTCAAACGCAGTGATCCCTCCCGTCCGAGCACCTCCTCGTCCTCTACCTCCTCCCCGACCACCTCTGTCACCACCTCGACCACCGCGACCACCACGGCCGCGATCACCACCGAAACCGCCGCGACCACGATCACCACCGAAACCTCCACGACCACGATCACCGCCGAACCCTCCACGTCCGCGTCCACGGTCACCGAAACCTCCACGGCCTCCCTACAACAG